GTCCTCTCGCACTACGGGGGTCTACAAGAGCAACGTAGAGTTACTCCTTGATGAGTGTGGTCTCTCTGCCCAGCTGTCTATCTCGCAGACGTGGGCACGGAGACGTTAACGGAGACGTTCACTACCAAAAAAACTGGGTTGTCACAAAACAGGAGTTTGCTCTTGAAAACGCAGGATCTTTGGCAACAGAGACCCGAGAGCGAGAGAGAGAGATACAGCAATTTAGGAATGTGCCAAAAAAAACATTGCGCTACATCTGGGCATTCCCAGAGTAAAACAAAAGTTAGCTACAGGACAGAGTATAGATCCTTCCAACAGCAACAACAGCAACGACAATAAGATTCCACTTATAGAGCGCCTTTCACGTCGGGAGGACGTCCCGAGGCGCTGGACAGTTGGGTCGGGACCCGAGCATTGGGGGGGAAATGGTCAGGGTGAGGGGAGGGAAGGGAGGGAGCGAGGAGGGGGAAATGGTCAGGGTGAGGGGAGGGAAGGGAGGGAGCGAGGAGGGGATAGAGAGTCGAGAGTGGAGCTGAAGGCTGAAGGTCAAAGAGAAAGGTCTTGAGACCGGCCTTGAAGGAGGAAAGGGAGGAGGCGGCGAAGGCACTGGGGGATGGAGTTCCAGAGCCTCGGGGCTGAGAGGCTGAAGGCCACCGATGGTAGGGCGGTTGGGGCGGGTGATGTGGAGCAAACCGGAGCCAGAGGAACGGAGGGTACGGGCAGGTAGGTAGGGGGATAGTAGGTCGGAGAGGTAGGAGGGAGCGAGGCCGTGAATGGCCTTGTAGGTGAGGATAAGGATCTTGAATTCGATCCTCTGGGGGATGGGGAGCCAGTGGAGGCGAGCGAGGGCGAGGGCGGGAGTGCTGTGGTCGCGGGACAGTACACGAGCTGCAGAGTTCTGGATGACCTGCAGCTTGTGGAGGGAGGTGCCCAATTCCAATTCCCTGCGCCACAACCTACTGTTGAGGGGGGAAATATTTTGCTCAGTGGCAAATCCAACCTGCGGATAGTCGCGTTATATTTTGCGTTGGTTGGAAACTCCACTCACCGCTGAGGTGGGGGTGCGGGGTGGTTTGCCGGGTGTCAAACCTCCGAGAAGGGGTTATTTTAAGCAGCTGCTTTTACCGGAAACTTTGATATCCTTCACAAATCGGAGCCTCAGTGAGAGAGCGACCCCGAGGACTTTGCCAAGCCAGCGTCAGCGAGACCGGGCCGGCAATCAACAAAAGCCAGGTCTCCAAACAACGTACGGAGACATTCGACCGACCGTGCAATCCTGGCATTTGATCCAACGTCTTTCACGACAGGAGGACGTCCGAAAGAGCTTCGCAAGATTTTACTGCGACGCCTTAGCGACTGTGCATTTCGAGTCCCTTAAAAGAAAACGGGACAAACATTTGAAACGGGACATCTACGAAAAGGACTCCGTCTCCGGGAAAAGACGAAACGATGAGCTCTTTTAGTCCACACAACACAAAGAGCTTGCTTCCTTCCGCGCTGCGAAAATTCAACGATTCCCTGATAATGCGACTAAGTAGGAACGTTAATTTGTTAGCTGCCTTGAGGGCACGGCTTTCGGAATAATTATTTTCGCCCGCGCAGATTGAGTTTGGGTATTTGCACAGAGAACAGAAAGCATCAGCTGCTAATTTGTTATCTCAGGGACCCGAAACGAGGCGCAGTACGCATAATTTTGTTGGCATTTATTCTAATGATCCCGGCATTTGCATTTTGATGTTACCAACTTAACATTTTCAGTTCAAGAAGGCAGCTTTGACCAATTTTTAAAGTACATGTAACTAATAACGCGCCTTGCATTTGGTAGGGCGCATCTCATCACGTCTTCGAGACACCTCGAAGCGCTTCACGGAATCTGCTGTGCAGCGAATTGACCGTCTATGTGTGTGCGCAAAACTTGGCAGCATCCCACAAACCGTCACGGATTATTATCTCCAGAAAGCGATTCATCCGTCAACTAACAACCGGGTTCCTACTTGCTACTGGTAAACAGAGGCGTATGGAGGAAGGAAACTTGCCTAAGGCTTCTCCCTGCCCGGGTACCGAAACCGGGTCCTCTCGCTTGCGAGGCGAGGGCTGTAACCACGACAATACAGGACTCCTAATGGGGCAGAATGGCATTGAACGCGGTGAGGGGTTTGCTCACGTGTCGGACACCACCAGACTGACCAAAAAAAAAAAAACAGGATGGCATTACTTTGGTTTGTGAGTGGAATGGAGTTAAAAAGGCTTTGGGGAAAGAGGGGGAGGGGGGGGAAGAGAGAGAGAGAGAGAGAGAGAAGAGGTTGGTGAGCGAGTGGGTTGAAATTGGACTATTTGCCTTCAAGGGAATGACAGAAACAATTGGCAAAAATGCAGAAAAGCACCTCAGAGGCATGAAATGAGAAGATTAGAGGGGACAGTGGTTTTAACATTACAAATAGGCAGTTACCTGGCAGTACGCAGGAACCCGGTTGTTAGCCGATCGGCCAATTGCTTTTCGGGGGTAATAATAATTCCTCCCCCCTCCAAAAAAATTGGTTATTTAATGCATTGGCTGCCGCGTTTCGCCCACAAAACACACAGTCGACTCACTTGACAGTATATACTGTGAGGGGATTTGAGACGTCTCAACGACGTGATAAGGCGCTATAGCAAATGCAAGGATTAATATTATTATTATTATTATTATGCAGACAGAAGAGAAGGGGCTATAACCAGCCCCAATGGCTGTAACACAACACCACCACCACCACCGACGACGACTTGCATTTGCACAGCGCCCTTCAGCGTCTCAAAGCGCTTAACGATGACAGAGCCATAAACAACGCGCAGGCAATTCAAAGGCAGATTTGTGCACGTTAGCTCCGAGAGAGAGAGAGAGAGAGAGGGAAAGAGAGCGAGAGAGAAATAGGTCGCCCCATGTTGCCTATCTATCTTATTTGGAGTGAGCAGATTGCTTTGTAATGAGTCATATCATTTCATTCATGCAACGCAGCACCATCTCCCTCCCACTCCACCCTCCCACCCGCCCCCTGTGCCCTCCACATTGAAGGCCCAAGGGATAGATTTTTCAAGGAAAACAAACCACAAAAGCTCCTCGGCACCAAATAAGAGACGGGTGGCTCAGCAGAAATCAGCGCCACTACCACAAGTAGAGAGAAAGAGAGAGGGAGACTGAGAGACAGGAGGGAAAGGGAGAGACGCAACACATACACAGAGGAGGGGAACAGGGATAAAGACACCCAGAGCAAGGGAGGAGAGGAGAGAACACCAACAGCTTGCGGACGTGTCAAAAGCTCTTCAATGGTCATGTACTGCAAGGGGAATTAATAATAATAATAATAATAATCCTTGCATTTGATACAGCGCTTTTCACGTCGGGAGGACGTCCCAAAGCGCTTCACAGAACGCACTGTAAAGTGAATCGACTGTATATTTGTGGGCGAACGCGGCAGCCAATTGCCCACAGCAACGTCCCACAAACAGTCGTGGATTGAAAATGACCAATTTATTACTGTTTTGGGTTTTGGAGGGATTATTATTAGGCTCTGTGTGGAGTAAGGAAACTTGCCCGAGGTTTCGCCCTCTGCCTGGAATTGAACTCAGGTCTCTCACTTGCAAAGCGAGTGCTCTAACCACTGAGCTACAGGACCCCACAGTTGACTAAGCACAAGGGCCAGATGTGCAGTGCATCGCCCAGAACACCTGGTCGGGTGGTTCACGAAAAACCTCTGGAGAAGACTCCAGTTACTTGCCCGGTCGGTTTATTGGCGGCTGCGACGTCTCCATCTCAGCGCCGCAGAGGGTCGCGGCGGGAAACGCTCTCGGCGAAGGAGAGGGGGAAAGGAAAGAAAGCAAAATAAAAACATATATATATTTTAAAAAAATCCTTTGCCCTGTGAATTATCGTATCGAGAACATAAAACTTTACCAAAAAAAAAAAAAAAACCCCTCCGAGAGAGTAAGAGAGTGATCGCAATTTCCAAACCTACAACTACAACAGCAAAAAAAAAACAAATTACTTTTCTGGTTCAGTGGAGGAATGGGTTTCTTCCACGCAGGTTTTAGCTATTTTTTCCTCTCTCACTCTCTCACTCACTCTCTCGCAACTACCCCCACCCCCCACCACGCGACCGTGTACCCCCCCGACCCCCCACCCCACCTGTAAAATAACTGCAAGCCTCATCAAAAGCAATCAGCAGCAAAAAAAAAACTCCTTTTACACTCGAGAAACCTTCAACGCAAGGCACGTTTCCCCCCCTCATTTACCCCCGCCCCGCACCCCCCCCCCCCCCACCCCCTCAGAGCACACCGCCAAATAAATACACGCAGTAAAACTCGCGTACGTCTGATCCGTATCAGTCGTATCATCGACCCAAGTCGTCCACAGGCTCCATTCAACAGTTTCTCCTTCTCCGCAAGTTTGCGCGTAAATCAAATGGACTCATAAATCACAACAGCAACAACTTGTGTTTAATTCTATCGATGAAGTTGCATTTGACACGGCGCCTTATCGCGTCATCGCGACGTCTCGAAGCGCTCGACAGAAGCGTAGCGACTGCGTGTTTTCGCGCGAAACCCGGCGGCCGATTGCTCACAGCCGCGGGTTGAGTGACCGAATAATTATTATTATTAGTTTGTTTTTTTTTGGAAGGGATCATTACCCCCCCCCCCCCCCACCACCACCACCACCACCACCACCCCACTCCCCTCACCGGAAAAGTGATCCACCAATCCACTAACGACCCTGCGTGCGTGGAGTGAGAATACTTGCGCGAGGTTTCGCCCCGACCCGAACGGCCCGGGAACCGTACCCCGGGGGTCCTTCTCGCTTGCGAGGGGAGAGAGCGCTCTGACCCACTGCGCCGCGGGGGAGGCGTATGGTATGGTTCCCGACTGATACGACTTACGTGAGGTCCATGAGTTATAGTGGGGGAGACAGAGAGAGAGAGAGAGAGAGAGAGAGAGGGAGAGAGAGAGAACGAGGGGGAAAATCTTACCGGTAAATCTACGCTGACATCACAACCGTCGAGCAGAGAGACCCGACAAGTGATGATGGATTTGCTGTCCCCGGCTGCCGGGATGTGAGTCCCTGATCTCTGTGCTTGTCTCTGCTTTTCCTTCTCCGTGTGTCTGCGGATCGAACGTCGCCCGATGGTCCTCCGCAGAAACCCCAACATCTTGCGTTTTGGGGATTTTTTTTCCCCCACCACCACCACCACCACCACCTCTTCGCGCACACACACACGCACGCGCGCGCCTCACTCACTCACTCACGCGCTCGCGCTCGCTCTCTCTCTCTCGCCAGCTAAACCCTGATCCTGTTGTTTTTAGGGAAGAAGAGGGAGACGCGCACGCACACACACTCACACGCTCACACGCTCACTCTCTCACACTCGCTCTCTTTCTCGCTTGCAAGAGAGAGAAAGAAACACACACTCACTCACTCGCACTCACTCACTCACTCGCACTCTCTCGCTCTCCAGCTAAACCCTGATCCTATTGCTCTGGAGAACAAGACGCACGCGCACACTCATACACACTCACACACACTCACTCACTCACTCTCTCACACTCACTCCCTCTCTCTTGCAAGAGAGAGAAACACGCGCACACTCACTCACTCTCTCTCTCTCTGAGCTAAACCCTGATCCTATTTCTCCAGAGAACAAGAGGGAGACACACACACACACACATACACACACTCACTCACACTCACTCTCTCACACTCACTCTTACAAGAAAGAGAGAAACACACACACACACTCACTCTCTCTCTCTCTCTCACACACACACTCACACCATCAATCGCTTTGGAGAGGAACAAGAGAGAGAGAAGAAAGAGAGAAAGAAAGAAAGAGAGAGAGAGAGAGAGAGGGAAAGGAAAGTAACAATAACAGATAGAAAAACCATCCAAGAGGTGATATCAAAATAAAACAGGTCTTCTCTGCTCTCCTCTCTGGTTTCTCTTCTTTCTTCTCTCTATCTCTCTCTCTCTTGTCTTTTCTTTTTCTCTTTCTCTCTTTCTCTCTCTCTCTTTCTCTCCTAAGCTCAATCAATCTGATTGGAACCCCAGAGCTGATTTAAATGGGCTTTAAATGCACAGGAAAAAAAAAACCAGCAAAGACCTGGGATGCTTTTCTAGGGTGGAAAATGCACTAAAATCTTTCTTTCTCTGCAATACTCACACACAAACACATCCCTCCACAGACTGGATGATGAATCCTGGTTAATTCCAGCCCAGGAAATGACATCAGGATGCAAAAAAAAAAAAGGCTAGGATTTTCTTTGGGATTGATGGAGAGACAGAAAGCGAGAGAGAGAGAGAGAGAGAGCGAGCGAGAGAGAGAGAGAGGTGATGATAAACGGAACGATCCTCGCGCTCGAAGCACTGCCTTCGAGACGCCTCGAAACGCTTCGCCGGACAGAGACGCTGCGAGAGCGCTGGACCGCGTCTTTGCGGGCGAATCGGGAATTGTTCGAGGTTATTTGGGGGGTTGTTAGAGAAATAATAATAATAATAATCCTCGCATTTGATATAGCGCTTTTCACGTCGGGAGGACGTCCCGAAGCGCTTCACGGAACACACTGTAAAGTGAATCGACTGTATATTTGTGGGCGAACGCGGCAGCCAATTGCGCACAGCAATGTCCCACAAACAGTCGTAGATTGAAAATGACCAATTTATTATTGTTTTGGTTTTGGAGGGATTATTATTAGGCTCTGTGTGGAGTAAGGAAACTTGCCCGAGGTTTCGCCCTCTGCCTGGAATTGAACTCAGGTCTCTCACTTGCAAAGCGAGTGCTCTAACCACTGAGCTACAGGACTCCAATGAACCAGGGTTAGGGTTAAGCGCACGCGCGCGTGTGTGTTTGTGTGTGTGAGAGAGAGAGAGAGAGAGAGAGAGAGAGAGAGAGAGGGATGGGGAGAAATGTCCACAAATGAAATGTCCTTTTTATTAAGTCATTGGATTTCAGTGGCACCTCTCGATTTGTTTGACTCCCACGTTTTTGTACCTGTGCGAGTTTAAGGTCGTGTTATTTCTAATTTTTCAGGCTTTCTTTTTTTTTAAAAAGAACGCACCCGTTGCAGACTTCAGATAAATACGCAGTGTACATACTAATAATAGCAATAACAATCCTCGCATTTGATATCGCGCCTTATCACGTCTTCGAGACGTCTCAAAGCCCTTCACAGAATATATCGTAAGGTATTTTGTGGGCAGCCAATCGCGCACGACAGTTTTTTGTGAAATATATTATTTTTTAATTTTTTCTGTATATCGATTCATTTTGCCCTCGGAATATACAGTCAGTTCACTTTACAGTGTATTCTGCGTTGCGCTTCGAGACGTCTAAAAGACGTGATACGGCGCTACATCAATTGCAAGGATTATTATTATTATCATTATTATTAAAATATATCTTTGTTATCTGGCTGTGCTTTAAGAGATTAGCTTCTCTCTCTCTCTTTTCCCCCATTATTATGTCTGCATCACATTAACTCACTCGCAGGCACAAGTGGGAATGAATCTTACTCTAACTGGTGTTTCGGGTCTTCGAAAAGAAAACTGAAAACGTTCCACGGTTCATTTCACGTCCACGACCCTCTTCTCAAACCTTGGCCCGAAATTGAAATCGGCTCCGCAACGCGGAGACGGATTTCAAAATGCAAAAATAATAATAATTTGGTCACTCAATCCACGACTGTTTGTGGGGCACTGCTGTGTGCGATTGACTGCCGCGTTTTGCCCACAAAGTAATAATAGTAATCCAATCCTCGCACTCTGTCGGACGCAATCGGCAAAAGCGTTCGTGTCACATTTAACACCACCTTCTCCCAGAGACGACTTAATGCTGAGCTAACGTCGGGTGTCCGTTTGCACGCACGAAGCCGTCCGTCACCGTAGAACCAGTTATTAATAACACTTTACCAGTCCGGTCAGTATTAAGCTGCCGCCCTTCAGCCTTCTCCAACTTGATCTCACTCATCACTGTGGCCTTGGACAACGTGTTGGACAAGACCCCAAGTCACGGTGGGTCGATGCAGTGGAAATCGACCGACAACCAACTCCCTGCTCACCGCGAGGTAAACAGGCGTGCGTGAGGAGTAAGGAAACTCGCTCACGGTTTCTCTCTGCCCGGGAATCGAACCCGGATCCTCCCGCTTGCGAGGCGAGTGCTCTAACCGCCGCACTACAGGTCTCGATCTGAGGGCAGTTTCAGTGATTGTGGTTTGGTGTACCGCTGATCTCTGCCCCTCCGGCCTGGGCTCTGTCTCTGACCCGATGTAACGAGGGGGTGTGGGGGGGGGGAAGAGCGCAGATCAGTCGTGTGCAGACAGACCGGGCCACCCCCTGAGATTGACGCCGACAGCAAAAAGGAATTGGTGAACGTCTCGCACCGAAGTTCCTTTGCATCAGGTGGACGATCGATCACTGGTCCAAATCATTGAAACAAACCGAGATACAAATATGTTCACAATAACAATAATCCTTATTGCGCTTTATCGCGTCTCGAAGCGCTTCACTGAATATGCCGTGAAGCGTAGCGACTGTGTATTTTGTGAGCGAAACACGGCAGCCAATTACGAACTGCAGCTTCTCCGCAAACAGTCGTGGATTGAGGGCCCACATTTTGTTTAAAAAAAAGAGATTATTACCCCCGGAAAAGCGATCCGCCGATCGACTAACGACCGGGTTTCTGGCCTAAGGCTTCTCCCCGCCCGGGAATCGAACCCGGGTCCTCTCGCTGGTGAGGCTGAGCGCTCGGTACAGGATTCCTGGCAAGCGCACAAAGTAAATTTAGATTAAACATGTAGCATCGTATTTTTGCCCCTGTTTTTTCTCCCCCGCTGACAGGGGCAGCAAATGCTGTGCGTTCGGGAGTGTGAGAGCATTGCCATCAGCAGGAATAGAGCGGCAACAGCAAGAATCCGCAGCAATTGCTGGTTGGATGCTTTCAGTCAACTCCTCGTCGACCCAGTAACCTTTTAAAGAACGTGGTCCCCGGGAAGGGTTACGGATCTTAACGATGGCTTCAGCCACTTTGAGCCGGGAAATTAACGGAGGAGGGCGGGCGGGAGGGCGGGCGGGGGGCGCGGTGGGGGGGTCTGATGAGCTCTGGTTGTCTTCATGAAAAGAGCAAATCAAACGAAGTTAGAAATAATACTAATAATAATCCTCGTACTTGAGACAGTGCCAAGTGCTTCGCGCTATATCATGTAAAGCGGATTAAGTGTATATTTTGTAGGTAAAACTCGGCAGCCAATTGGTGTTCCCACAAGCAGCGGCAGATTGAGCGACCAAATTATTATTACTTTTATGATTTTTAAAATGAATTATTAATGACTATTAAAAAAAATTGCTAATAGAGGACGAATTCATGATCGTTTCATTTGATGCAGCGGCTATAAAGTCAAAAAGGGTTTACGGCAATTACTGTAAAGTGTAGTGACTATTTGTGGATGGAGGCCGTGACTAATATGCACACAGTAATGTCCCATAAACAGTCAGGAGGTGAACGACCAATTTTTTTTCTGGCGGTTGTTGGCCGGGACACTGGGAGAGAGAAACTCCCTTCTCTTGTCCAGTCATTCCATGAGATCTTTAACATTCACCCAACCCACAAAATATACAGTCAATTCACTTTACAACGTGTCCTGTGAAGCGCTTTGCGACTTCCCAATGATGTGATAAATGCAGGAATTAATATTATTATTATAATAATAATTATTATTACTCTCCACCTGGACAAGCAAATGCAACCTTAGTTTAACAACAACTTGCATGTATACAGCACCTTTCACACAGGTAGAGAGGGGAATCGAGTGGTTTATATATAGGAGCGCAGAGCACTGGTTAGAGCACTCGCCTCGCAAGCGAGAGGACCCGGGTTCGATTCCCGGGTGGGGCGAAACCCTAGGCAAGTTTCCTTATTCCGCACGCCTTTACCTTGCAGTAAATAGGAACCCGGCTGTTAGTCGATTGATAACCCCTTCAAAAAATGGTCACTCAATCCACCGACTGTTTGTGGGACACTGCTGTGCGCAATCGGCTGTTGCATTTCGCCCACGGAAGCTGCAAAGTATTACTACGCTTCACAGGTATGTTCCGCGAAGCGCTTTTGAGACTCCACGACGACGTGATAAAGGCGCGATATTAAATTATTTGATTAAATTAAATAATTATTATAGTATTATGATGATGACGATGATGGGCACAGTTC